TATGATATTTTGCATCTTCTTCGCTCCTGTCCTTAGAAATGTTATCTTTCTAACTTTTGTCTATTTATAACAAGTCTTATATTATTCAATTCCTCTAATATCATGTCATTGCATGAACCCACAACGTGTGACATAGACAATGAAACATCATTAAAAGATAGGAAGCCATTTTTGTAGATGACTCGTGATATACAAGAATTGATGTCAATCATAAAGAGGTGGTCCCCAACCACACTAAAAGATATTGGTACCAAGGAAATGGACCATCTCTGGATCCCTTCCATCAAATTCACCCAATCACTTAATTCGGGCTCTTGAAATTTGATCAAACGGCTAAAATTATTATAACTTTTAAAGGAACCCCTGTTTGTATCTGTTGGATCAAATTTTAAGGGTCCAGACTCCTCTCGCACTTTCTTTTTTGTCTTTTTGTTCTTATAAAAATATCAATGTAAGATGTTGACGTAACTTAATCGTAACCGTTCAAGTAGGAAGGGATGAAAGGAGATAGATTATGAAGGGATAGAATCGTCCTCTATAGCAAAATCCACCACCCATCCCATCCTAGCTCAAAAACTCTTCAATATAATTTTTGTTTAGGTGGGGCATCAAGTACATGTATCTTTATCAATTAACCAATTTCTAAATTCTTGTCATATCCCGGCTTGTGCCCCCACCATATTAAGGGCTCGACACCACCGTAGCACGATATTGTCCACTTTGGGCCCCAACCACGCCCTCACGGTTTTGTTTCTGGGAACTCACATGAGAACTTCCCAGTGGGTCACTCATCTTGGGATTGCTCTCGCGCGAACTCGCTTAACTTCAAAGTTCTTACGGAACCCGAAGCCAGTGAGTTGCTAAAAGACCTCGTGCTAGGTAGAGATATGAATATACACATAAGGCTTAGAGGATCCACTCCCCTGGGTGATGTGGGATTTAACAATCCACCCTCATTAGGGGTCCGATGTCCTCGTCGACACACTTCTGACCAAGGATTGGCTCTGATATCAAATTGTCACATTCTGACTCGGGGTCCACCACATCCCAAGCTCCGCTTCTGCCGTAGCACGATATTGTCCGCTTTGGTCCCAGGCCATGCCCTCACGGTTTTGTTTATGGGAACTCACACAAAAACTTCACAAGGGGTCACCCATCCTGGGATTGCTCTCACTCGAACTCACTTAACTTCGGAGTTCCGATGGAACCCGAAGCCAATGAGTTCCCAAAAGGCCTCATGCTAGGTGACCAGAACCCCCACCACATCCCGGGCTCGACTCCACCGTAGCACGATATTGTCCATTTTGGACCCCAACCACGCCCTCACAGTTTTGTTTCTGGGAACTCACACGAGAACTTCTCAGTGGGTCACCCATCTTGGGATTTCTCTCGCGCGAACTCGCTTAACTTCAAAGTTCCGATGGAACCCGAAGCCAATGAGTTCCCAAAAGATCTCGTGCTAGGTATAGATGGGAATATACATATAAGGCATAGAGAATCCATTCTCCTGGGCGATGTGAGATGTTATAATTCTGGAGTAGATTCTAAAGAGATTTTGCTTTTTCATGAATTTACCTGGAATCGGGATCTTCTGACTTAACTTTATCCCTGCTTTGTTGAGGGGGCAACCCCATATTTCATCATAAATTGGTCAAACTATACAAAATTTCTTATTTTTTGTGAAGGATTAGAATTCAAGTTATTGATAATTCCTCAATTGCATGGTGTTTAGTTGTAATAATTTGGGGGTGTGACTAGTGGCGGGTTCCCAATAGCAATGAAGAAGCTGTAAAATTGATATCCCCGAAAGGCGACAAAAAAATGAGAAAATTACTTCGTGTTAACAAAAAAAAAGGAGTCATTACGGTCTTATGAATAATTTGACGATAATTTTGGTTGCGGTCCCTCAATTGTTTGCTTGGAATCTTATTTAGCCAAATATTTTGATCAAAGTCTCACATTTAAACGGTGCATCATTTAGGGAATTTAACTCCTGTATTTATCAAATTTATAACCCACAAATTATGAAATTTAAACAAATTTAAATTGTATTTTGAAAATATAATAACTTCTTAAAATCGATGATAGAATAATATTGTTCTTCACATAGTTTTTGCAAAAAATAATATACTCACGTAACTATTGATATATTTTAAAACACAAAATAAATTCATGTATTAGTATGGGTACATTAATAAAAAAAATATGAGTACAAATTAAATTAAAACATACGGTTGCATATCAAAATTTAAAATTAAAGGTACAAATCAAAATATAAAAAAATGGGCATAAAAAGAAATTATACACATATGGGTATGAATTAATGCTAAAAGAATATTGGTACAAAATTTAAAAGATAAGTACAATTAAATTAAAAAATATAGGTACATATCAAAAATTAAAATTATGGGTACAAATTAAAGTTTTTATTTTTTTAATATGAAGTACATATCAAAATTTAAAATTATGGGTACAAATCAATGTCTAAAAAATATATGGCATAAAAAGAAATTAGAAACACATGGGTATAAATTAAAATTAAAAAAATATTGGTACAAAATTTAAATTATGGGTCGAAAATTAAAGTTTTCAAAACATTAAAATATATGGTACAAATTAAAAATAAAATTATGTGAAAATACTAAAAGAATATATTTGATAGAATAAGTATTTCAAATTTAAAATTGAAATGATTTAATATTCAAATCTTGATGTGGAAGTTAAAGGATTTTGATAAGAAAAAAAAAAGGAAAATGAATAAGGTTTAATTAATAAAAATGAAAGTAAGTGACGAAAATGGGTTGATTAGAGGATTCAAAGCTCCATCAATGACTTGAGAGTTTAAATCTACTTCAATATTTGTTCATGTCACTATTTAATGCTAGTGACTTAACAAATGTTCATTGTCACATCTCGGTCCGGGCCCCCATCACATCCCGGCTCGACTCCACCGTAGCATAATATTGTCCACTTTGGGCCCCGACCACGCCCTCACGGTTTTATTTCTTGGAACTCACACTAGAACTTCACAGTGGGTCACCCATCTTGGGATTGCTCTCGCCCCTTTCTCGCTTAACTTCGGAGTTCCTACGGAACCTGAAACTAGTGAGCTCCCAAAAGGCCCCGTGCTAGGTAGAGATGAGAATATACATATAAGGCTTATAAGATCCACTCTCTTGGGCGATGTGGGATGTTACAATCCATCCCCCCTTAGGGGCTCGACGTCCTCGTCGGTACACTTTTGGCCAGGGATTGGCTCTAATAACAAATTTTCACATCCCAACCCGGGCCCCCACCACTAGGGGTGGGTTCGGTTTAAATCGGTTCAGTTTTTTGCCAAAACCGAAACCAAACCAAAATTTCGGTTCGGTTCAGTTTGGTTCAATTTTTTTTCGGTTCGGTTTTTTTTCGGTTCGGTTTTTTCCGGTTCGGTTTCGGTTTTTTGTTTTTATTTTTTTTCAAAAAATGAAAAACATTGAAATTTTAAATTTTAACATATCCAACACAATCATAACATAAACATTCTAACTAGAATCAAAGACAATGAAATAAACATTTAAAGTTGAACTAAAATCATCAATCAAGTCTTTCAAAGTCCAAACTAACAACCTCACAACACAAAAATCACACAAAAATCATACAAATGACTTAGAAAAGTTAAATTGTATGATGTTGTTCAAAGATCAGTGTTGTTTGCTTGTAACTGCATGTTGACAACTTGATTAGTAAAGGTAATGCGTGGGTGGATTTATTTAGTGTGTGTTGGATTCTTTTCCATCACAAATTACCCAAGTAATCTACCCGAAATAAATGTTTATGGATTATGTTACATGTTATATGAGAGTAGATTTGGAAAAGAAAGCTGGCGCAGAAGTAGACAGTGCTATGGAGATGGATGTAGGTACTTCGGGAAGAGGTTTGGTTCCGGAACCTTATATGGGGGAGAAATAATAGGTTAGGGTTAGAGTTTTTATAGGCCTTTTTTTAATATTTTGAGCTTAAAGTTTGGCAACACATTGGGTTAGCACATTTTAACTTACAAATTGGGTTTATAAAATAATACCCAAAACAAATAATTAAATAAAAAAAATTAATTTAATTAATTCGGTTCGGTTCGGTTTGGTTTGGTTTCTAGATCACTAAAACCGAACCAAACCAAAAGAATTCGGTTCGGTTCGGTTTTTTCAATTCGGTTCGGTTTTTTCGTTCGGTTCGGTTTTTTCGGTTTCGGTTCGGTTTGGTTTTCGGTTTTTTTCGGTTTTTGGTTTTTTGAACCCACCCCTACCCACCACATCTTGGGTTCGACTCCATCGTAACACGATATTGTCCGCTTTGGGCCCTGACCACGCCCTTATGGTTTTGTTTCTGGAAACTCACACGAGAACTTCCCAGTGGATCACCCATCTTGGGATTGCTCTCGCCCATTTCTCACTTAACTACGGAATCCGAAGTCAGTGAGCTCCCAAAAGGCCTCGTGCTAAGTAGAGATGAGAATATACATATAAAGCTTACATGATCTACTCCCCTAGGTAATGTGAGATGTTACATTCATGATTCAGAATGTTAGGTCTTCAATTTATTCGATCCAACAGCAGAATACTAAAAAGGGTGTGTAAAAAGTAAAAAATGAAGGACAAGGATCCTCTCCGAATCCTTTATGTGGGGTTCCGAATGATCAATCAATCGTGTCCATTCATCGTACATCATACAATCAATTTTTATTAAGTACTATTTATATTTAATTTTAAATTATAAATTAAAAATAATTTATAACCACACGATGGTTAGATTAATTGATCATCTGAATCCCTATAATCCTATTCCAAAAATGGATGTGTGGAGCACCACCCTTACCAATTGTGCAGTGATACGTGGAGGCACACGATGAGTTGGAACATGTACGCTACTAAGCCCTGGCTGTCGATTTGTGAAATATGGAGGAAATTGAATTGGGCTTGGGCTTTTGAAAACCAAAATTTCGCCCTTTTTTTAACTGCTTCCCGTTCTCACTCTGTCTCTCTCCTCTCCTGTGTTCTCTGACTCTCTCGCTCCTCCGCTAGGGTTTTATAGGGTTTTCTGTTTCTCCCAAATCCAAAAATTCCGAAACGCCATGGAAAAGTTTCAGAGAGTCGAGAAGCCGAGGCCCGAACTGCCCATCAACGAGAACGAGATCCGCATCACCACCCAAGGCGCTATCAGAAACTACATCAGCTATGCCACCACTCTGCTGCAGGTTCATCTTCTCTCGCTTCGATCGTCTCTTCTGTTATCATTTTTCGTCGTGTTTTGTTATATTCATTAATTCTTTTGTATTTTTGGTTTCTGGGTATTTTTGCATGTCTTTGTTTTTGCATTGGGTTTTTTTTTTTTTTTTTCCGTTCGGTTTATTGGGTTGTTTTTGCTTCCAATATGGATGGATATTTCGCCGATTTTGTTATTTGTGGGTATTGGGTCTTGGTTGTTTGGTAATGATAAATGCATTTGAATGTTGTTTTATGGATTTTTCTGGTTGTTTGTTATGGTTGAAATTTGAATCGCATGAATGTAGCTGCTGTTGTTGTTTAAATTGATGGTCTCGGCTAAGTTTTTGTTACATGTATGCGGAAAGTCCTTTGTGATTGTTAATTCATGTTGGCGTGGGAGATGCTAGCCGGTAGGTCTTGACTGAAGTCCATTGGCAGTTTTAGTTTATTGGGAATGCCAGTTATCAATTATTTACGTCAGAATAGTTCTATTGACTTCAATGAGGAGGTGGGTAGACTTAGTTTTCATGTTTTGCGTCAATAATTCAGTTTACTGGACAACCCGTGTTGTAAGCAGCATTGCAAATCTAGTTGTGTGGTTGTTTGCATCATATGCTATGTCATTGGATTATAGACCAATTTAGGCCGAGAGTTCAATGAAGGCTGGAGCTGTGAAAAAGGATAATCAATGTTCCAAAATTGTGGTTGTAAAGACATGAGGGAACTTTTTAATTATGGTTCTTAATACCGATAATTTCTCTCCAACAAGTACACAAGGCCCTTTTTGGTATGAATAGTACTTTCCTTTTTGTGATGGATTCTCCACCTGGGAAGGGTTTCCTTCAGTGTACTTGTCAAAATCTATCAACGAGGCGGTTAACTGTTTTTAGTCACAATAAGGCCTTACCGGAGTTTGGTTGACCCCTTTCTGTGGGTGAATATACCTTTGACGCTTGGCCGAAACACTTGACATGATAAGAAAAAATTGTTACATTAACGAGAGTGTTCCATAAACCACTCAGGTAATAAATAGTAGTAATATTTATTGTGAGAATGGGCAAGAATTCATACCTATTTACAGCTGTAAGATTGGTATGTACATGTTCTGTTTGAGCTTCTCTTTATTATGTCTCTTTGCTATAACTGTTGTTCATTTGCCTTTATATGTTCTAGAAATCCTAAGGTTAACTTTATTTTCTCTCCCTGTGCTTTTTTCTGTCAGCTGGTACTCGAAGATCTATGTTATAGAACAAGTGTCTTAAATAATACTTTGTCTGAGTGGTCTGTATGCATGGTTATGGTGATTCATCTATCCTTGCATCTGAATTTTTTGGAGCTAATCTACCAATTCTGTGGACATTTTCCATAGGATAAGCACGGAAAAGAAATCGTCTTGAAGGCAATGGGACAGGCAATTAACAAGACAGTTGCAATTGCTGAAATTATAAAGGTCACTATCTTGCTCCCCTCCCGACAACTACCCAACAATCTCTCTGTCTTCATTGCACACTAACCAGCCATTTGTGTTTGAAAACAGAATAGAATTCCCTTGTTACATCAAGAGACTGCCATCAGCTCTGTAAGCATAACTGATGTGTTTGAACCGATGGAAGAAGGTCTTCTCCCGTAAGTGTCGCAGAATAAATTTCCACTGCGCAATTTTGTACGCATGAATATATTTATGGTGATTACTTTGTCCAGTAAGGAAATGACTTAAACAAATTTTTAGTGTATGCTATGTTCATATGCATGGTTATTTTATTTTTCTGCTTAATTAAAAATGGGCGTATTAAGTTATAAAGATGTGTTGCAGTGTGGAAACGACTCGTCATGTCTCAATGATTTCAATCACATTATCAACTAAGGAGCTAAACACAAATTCTCCTGGGTAAGTTCTGAAACATGTTGGGATCTTCACCAAGGTTGATTTTTAGATTAAGTTTGAAATTTTTCTGCGGTATATGCATAAAAATATTGAGCTTACGGAAACGTGATTCCTGTTCCTTTTCTAGTGCTTTTAATTTTAATATTTTTGGCATGTTCCCTTTCCATAGGTATCAAGCCCCATATGTTGCGGATCAATCAAAGCCACAGCCAAAGTACCAACAGCAGCAGCAACCAAAACAAGCACGTGTTTCTTACAATGCTGTTAATGAAGGTGATGGTAATGACAACTTATCACGTAGCTTTTATTTTAAGCATGTTTTAATGTTTCAATTTTAACATGCTTCCTTTATTTGGTGGTTAGATTCATATGGCCGAGGACGGGGACGTGGTAGAGGAAGAGGCCGGAATTGGGGCAGGGGTGGAGGGTATGGCAATTATCAAGGCGGATATGGAAATCATCAAGGTGGATCTGGGAACTATCAAGGTGGTTATAGAAACTATCAAGGTACAATAATGAAATCACACAATTATTTTCTACATTGGGGGTTTAAGTAATCTCCTTATGGTTTTATGAAGTCCCTCTATTATATATACATATATACATATATAAATTTTATATAATATAAATCTGTCCTTCACTTGGGACTTCTTTTCTTGTAGATAATGGTGGATATTCCAGTCGGGGACAAGGTGGTGGACGTGGTAGGGGTTGGGGTAACCGTGGTAAGTTTACTTAACTTTCTATACAGGGTCTCTATGCAATAATCAAACTTGTGGATGAGTCTATGCATTCTTTTTAATAATTGCCTATACAAGGAGAATATCCTGAGCAGCATTTTGGGTTAGGGGACGTTGAGGGATTATTTACAAAAGAGTTGGCCATATTTGAAGGGTTGGCATTGTACTCTATTTTGAAGAGTGTTGGATCATTGTATCTTTGTGTTTGCTTTCAATTGGGTACATGTATTCAATTGTATCCCTATACCTCTCAGTCTGGTGGATACACTTAACCGCTTAAGATGTGTGCTTCAGATACGAATATGTTCTTTTATTGATCTGTATGTGAGCATTGGTCACATATGCGCAATGGACTGACTATTTCAAGCATATTATTTTCTTTTCTTATAGGTTCTGGTGGTGGGTATGAAAGAGGTGCTGGTAGCTATGAAAGAGGTTCTGGTGGTGGATATGAAAGAGGTGCTGGTGGTGGATATGAAAGAGGTTCTGGCGGCGGGTATGAAAGAGGTTCTGGCGGTGGGTATGAAAGAGGTTCTGGCGGCGGGTATGAAAGAGGTTCTGGCGGTGGGTATGAAAGAGGTTCTGGCGGTGGGTATGAAAGAGGCGGTGCTGGTGGAGGGTATGAAAGAGGCGGTGCTGGTGGAGGAGGGTATGAAAGAGGTTCTGGTGGTGGGCATGAAAGAGGCGGTGCTGGTGGAGGGTATGAAAGAGGCGGTGCTGGTGGAGGAGGGTATGAAAGAGGCGGTGCTGGTGGAGGGTATGAAAGAGGCGGTGCTGGTGGAGGGTATGAAAGAGGCAGTGCTGGTCGTGGGTATGAAAGAGGCGGTGCTGGCCGTGGGTATGAAAGAGGCAGTGCTGGTCGTGGGTATGAAAGAGGCGGTGCTGGCCGTGGGTATGAAAGAGGCGATGCTGGCAGACGTTATGAAAGAGGCGGTGCTGGTGGATATGAGAGAGGCGGTGCTGGTGGATATGAACGAGGTGGCAGAGGTGGAGGGGGAAGAGGGTACAACCGAGCAAGAGGACGGACGGGTGGGCGCACAAGAGGTGATGGAACTGGAAACCAAGCATAATCTAAAGTTGGTGATATTTTTTGCTTCAGCTACAATGCATATGCCCTTTGGCCCGTGAGGGTGCGTTTTTATGAGAGTACTGTTTCAATGGCGTGAAATGTGGCCTTTCGATATTTGGCGTTGTTTAAACAGTTTCTATTTTGATGTTTTCCTCCTGCATTGCATTATATTTTTTGTGGATATGGGCAGCCTTGTTTTGGGTCTTGCATTTAGCCGCCGGGTGAAAAAATTGGTCGGTTTTAGTATTGCTGTAATTCTTTTGACATTATTGTATCTAGTGCTTCCTTAAAATATATCTTTATTTCTTTAAAACTAATTTTCACTTCCTATTTACCCATTCGCTCCTTGAAATTCATTTCTTCTTCTCTACAAATTACAGTTCGAAATGTGTGAAAACTTTTCCCATCAACTACTGTATGTACTATGTATTGCTTTCTTCGTGATATCCCGGAGTACCGTACAAAATCTTCAATGATAACATTTGCTTTGTGCCTTCCAAGGGTTCAAGGACCCTCCAAAATTGCCTTTTCGTTAGTGGCATTGGCGAACAAGTTTCGCCCAATTAGGTAAAAGCTAGCCCGATAAAGTATGGATAAAGCTCAGATGGTGGTCAACTATGGCCTATATGCTTCCAGTCTTAGGTCGGACGGCTCCTGTTCAGTGGAATCTCCAACCACTCAGTATTCGTATTCACATGTCATGGACTATCGACCTTATTGTTCTATCAATACGATTTGTATTCCGATTAGGTATATAGTTGTTGATATCGTGTTTATATGCTTGCGAGCGGAAGTCTAGACAGAAAGTAAATGACGATGTGTGTCATTGGGCGCCAATACTCGAGAAAAACTTGGGTCAAACTGCATGACTATCCCAAGGGTCAGGCTAGCCAAGCCACATTGTCAATTACTAATCATGTAAGCTTCCACTAACATATAGACATGATATTGACAAACGAAGTATCGATATCATGACATTTATAATCGAGGCCATGTACATATGCTTATCGATATTAATTGGTCAGACCATCCAATTGATCAGCCGGTTTGACCCAAGTGTTTCTCCCAACTCAGTCTGATGAATAATGATCTTTGACCATATTGACAACTACATACCACCTCTACAATAAAAAAGAGTTTAACATGCATCGATGGAATCCATAATTAGAAATGTGGTCAACAGGTGCTCAGTACATTGTAGTCCATATAATAGCACTCTTAAGGCCTTTCAAAAAATAGTTATGAGTGTGATACCTATGTATAAAAATCAAGTAGCAGTAGTTATGAGAGTGATACCTATATATAAAAATCAGGCAGCACTAGTTTGATACCTGTAACACTCATGCTATATTAGTGTGAGTTCAATATATTTGTATAATACTCAAATTTTCCAGCCTAATGTAGAAGTATGATTCTTATATGAGTCCAACATATTAGTACCACACTTACTTTCTTCGGCCTAATGTGGAAGACCTAAAAGCATTTCTAAAAGACACTTTAAATCTATTGGAAAGCTAGTTTAAAGAGCCAAACTCATGAAAGTCATCTCCAAAGGAATCTTTATCCCACTCTTAACTATTAAGTTTAGTTTTGTGAATAGTTGTTCAATAAATTTAAGAGAGCATTTTTGCTTTCCGTCATAAATTATGGTGTATGCTCACCAATCACCATTACCTTTAAAGCTTGGCATTTGCCCACTAACATAACCATGGTTAAATTATTTATTTAAAATATTAAAAAAAATTAAAATGCTCTCCATCCAATGTATTAAAAAACTCAATTATTTCCTATTTAAAATATTCACGAAAATGCTCCCTAAATTTAAAGAGGAGAGAGAGTTTAAAGAATATGCTTAACACAAAAAGAATATTAATTGGGGAGAGAAATATGAAAGATGAGAAGGATTAGAGAGGTGGATTGTTCAAATATTAAGAAAAAAAATGCCAAAACGGATTAATAGTCCTCGTGGTGATAGGGTATTTGGAGGATAGCTCAAGTAGTAAAAAAAAAATTAAGATTTAAACTCTTGTGGTAAAGATTATTAGCAAATTTAACCCAAAAAACAAACATCTAGTAAACTCAATTAAATATAGGGATAAAAATGTCCACCCACACTTTTTATTTCTACTAGCCTTATCTTCCTCTCTGTGTCTGTGTAATTATACATCCACATGCAATGCAAGGCCACGATCGGATCAACACATGTCTCCATGTGAACTGATTGTCGTGGTCTTCCGGCTGCTCAACTCCAAGCCCAGCCATGATGCCTGCTCCCTCGTCTGCAAGCACTAGCTCATCCTTGAGCGCCTCAGCAGCACCACCCTCTACATCGGCGCCACTGCTAGCCCAAACCTCGTCATCGACCTCATCGCCGTCAATTCCGCAATGTCCGCACCGTTCACATTGACGAGTGCCTTAACCTTTCGTCGGTGAGACTGCATTCTACCAATGGCGCTGACAACAACGTGCTTGATTTGAACAACTTATTGAACGTCGGTATGATTGCTATCGGCGACAAATTCCCTAGCTCGAAAAACTTAGCTTAATTTGGTGCTCCAATGCTATGGATGCAAATTTCCATCGTCTTCTCATTTGACGAAAATGCACCTGCAAGATAATAACACCTAAGATTAAAAACAAAAGCCTCGCGCACCCACAATGAATTTTTGGGAAGGGAGCTTTGGCCGAAGAATCTTTGATGCCAAAGTTAGAATTTGAGAGAGAAAGTGTTTTGGAATTTTTTGGGAGAGAATGGCCTAGCATTTTAGTGGGAAAACATGACTATTTATAGGTGAGTGACCGGCCCTATTTGGAGAATAGGGGCCGGCCACATATGGTCAAATTGTGAATGTAATTGCAAGATATTATGTGAAATAATATCTTGAAATTAACTTGGCAATTAATCCCAAATTGAATAGGAAAATTGGGAGTTACCTTTTGAATAAGGATTTGATGAGGAGTGATGAGAGGGTTTTGAATAAATACCATTTTGATCACCTTTGACTCTTCCTTGATTGAGTCGTTATTATCCAATGAATGCGCGTGGAAATCTTGGTGTGCCTCGAGGATAATTTGTCCTTTTTACCCAAAAGTACACGTGTCGCCTTCATAATTTTCTTGATTAGTTTTGGCTTTACAAATGCCCCCACACCTACTGGGCTACGACCCTTCGACTTACCAGTGAGTGGGCAGTATTTTCTGTATTTACTTATGTACTATTGATTTTTCCCAGAAATTGAATTTAAATGAAAGTATGTTTTCAAATGCCATGCATGCATATTATATGAAATATATGAATTGGTATTTGATGCATATATGTGAAATAGTGCTGTGGACGCACAGGTGAGTATCAGGTGAGTTTTATGTTGTTCATATGGTGTATTGATGATGTGAATTGTGTTGAGAGCTCATAACCTGCACCCCTGGTGTTAGTGCTTATATTATTCACCCCGCACCACACGCTCACCTTAGATCCAAGTAGGTGCATGTCGTACAGACCATTAGAGGTGGTTCCAACTTGTAGGTGATTTTAGATTATTATACAGTTGTTGATGAGAGAAGCACTAGAGTGTATTCTTACACCTTTCTTATCGTACAGACTACTTCAGGTAGTTCCGATTTATGTGCAGAGTAGCGTCGTACAAGTCACTGTGGTGACTCCGGTTAGTTGGATATTGAGCTATAGAATTAACTGTACAGGACCAGCTGCAGGGTCTCCAGTTGATTCATTATTTCACCTGTTATATTGATGCATCCTTATTTTGTTATTGACGCTTATACAGTGGCATACTTTCTGGTTTTTGACAAAGATTTGTGATTTGAGATATATGAAGATTTATATGCATATTATGTTATTTTCTGGGAAAGTATACAGGTTTTACAGCGAGTGGTTAGAAATGTTATTAATTGAAATGTTTTCGAAAAGCTTTGTTTTACTGATCCACTCAATTTTGTTTTGCGCCCCTCCAGGTTCTAGTTAGCAGCGTTGGTGGCCCATGAGGATTCCCATGGCGTACTGACAGACTACATAAATGTAGGACTCACCTTCGGGTGTTGTAATTTAGTTATAGTCCTACTTGACTGCACCTAGTACTTATGCTCTGAACATATGTGTTTCACACTTAAACTCAGTCTAGTATGCTAGTTGGTTATTATTGATAGTAGATGGATTTTATTCCTTCGTAATTCTTTTATCTTTTGCTTCCGCATCGCACTTTTGGTTACGTCACGCTCACGTGACGGCCAGCACGCCTTGATTCTAGGATCGGGGTGCGTCAGTTTGGCTCGCAAGAAAGGGCAGCAGGTGTAGAGATCTCCAACTTTGATGCAGATTCCCACTTGGACTTGGAATTAGATTTTTCTAGGAAAGGAAAATAAATCGCCTCTAAAGCCTATTTAAGCCTACCTTAAGTAGGGGATTAAATCAACTTCGGGTGGCAATTATTTATATTTACAAGAAAGAGATAAAGTTAGAGGATATTTGTTCCCCCTCCCCTAGCATTCTTCTTTGCTTGCCTGTGCAAATAACCGTCTTCAGTTGATTTCTTCGTCTTCCTCGCATTGCACCAGTGTAAGAAAAACTTAATTCTTTTTGTCTTCTTCTTGGATGGTGTTGCCATGGGACAGTCGTCGGGGTGGTGTAGCACGTCAGTTGGCAGGGGCCATGAGTCGGCTTAGCATAGGCCGATGAAGTGGTGTGTCAGGGGCCATAGCTTGTGTTGTTCGGCTTGACTAAAACCAAGGGTTGGCTCAACATGGGCTGAGAAAGTGGTGTGGTATAGGCCATGGTTTAGGCTACCACATTTAGGCTGCTTGCCAAGAATGAGGAAACTACTTGAGTTTGATTTCTCAGATGCCGTATATGAAGCAATCAAAGACAAAGCTGCTAAAGATGAAGTATCGGATGAGCGAACTAGTGAGTGCGAAATGGCTGCTGCCCCATGACCATTTGCTGCTTAGCTAGTTTTCAAGTATTCGATCTGTTGATGCACAAAACCGGAGGTCTTGGAACAACGTAAATTCGACCGTGAATCTGCAAGAAATGTAAATAACACAAGATGTATCATGGTTCACCCTTATATTTGGGCTACGTCCACACAGATTATTGTATTTCTAAGAGGATTGTGAGGGAGAAAGTGTGAGGATCTCAAGCCTAAGAATTGGCTTCTCCTACTTGTGAGGGTGAAGAGTCCTTTTATAGAATAAGGGCTCCTCACTTATTACATATTTACCCTCTTCCTTTATTACATAATTACATTTAAGTCCCCCCGAGTATTTGTATGAGATCTAAATACGAAGGCCCTAAGTATGGTATAAA